TTCTCACTCCGCGCCCCCATACCCTCTAGTTTCTCACTCCGCGCCCCGATACGCTCTAGTTTCTCACTCCCCACTCCCATACCCTCTAGTTTCTCACTCCCCGCCCCCATACCCTCTAGTTTCTCACTCCCCGCCCCCATACCCTCTAGTTTCTCACTCCGCGCCCCCATACCCTCTAGTTTCTCACTCCGCGCCCCCATACCCTCTAGTTTCTCACTCCGCGCCCCCATACCCTCTAGTTTCTCACTCCGCGCCCCGATACGCTCTAGTTTCTCACTCCCCACTCCCATACGCTCTAGTTTCTCACTCCCCACTCCCATACGCTCTAGTTTCTCACCTTCCACTCGTAGCCCAGCTGCTTCATGGCCCGACACACTTCTGCCATGATGTCATTTGGCCTGCTCTGACTGCGGATGCCAAGGTGCCACTTTGCTCTGCGCACCCCAGGGTGTTTGGATTTCTGGGGGTTCAGCTCGTCCAGAGTGTGCCTGGGCCTGGGCGCAGCCTCTGCCACCAAGAAGGGCACCCGCTCAGGGTGGACCCTGGTGACAAAGTGCTGATCGTCCAGGAAGGAGGCACTGTCGGGGGGGCTGGATGCTAGGTAGAAATCCTTAGCCTCATTCATGATACGGCGATTATCGATGATGAGGTGGTAGGCAACGGCCAGCGGGTCCTGGTGGTTCCGACTGTACAAACAGTTCAACACCTCCTCCTCGCTGCACTCAAACTTCTCACACACCTCCCTCAGAGCCTCGTCATCAATCATACTGGTACTGTAAGCAGGATCCTCCGGGAACAAGTACTTTGGTAAATCCTGCTTAAACCAGTCATGTTCCCTGAAAGGACAGACAGCATTCCTTCAGAAGCAGTGCACCAGCATGGAAGTCTCAGCTAAAACTCAACAGGTCAGCAAGCATCTTTGGCATGGGAAACCATGCTAACGTCTAAGGTCCAGTGATCTTCCAACAGAATGGGGAGATTTTAAACTGTACCTTCTCCCCATCCTAACAGATCCCCCACTGGAAACTCTGTCCAATTCCTCTCGCTACAGCAATGCCAGCATTTCCCTATCCTTGGGATAACTCCAAAAGGCCCACGGAGAATCACTAATAAATCTCCCTGTGAGGCTCATTGAGTTCCCTTGCTAACAAGGGGATGGAACTCATCACCTGAGCCTGTTAGAAAGCAAACCCCAGTCCCTCTTGTGGCACAGAGGTATTGTCCCTACCCTTGAACCAGGAGGTCTGGGTTCAAGTCCCAGCTGCTCCAGAGGTGTGCAATTACATTTCTGAAGAGGATGATTGGAAAATATATCTATAACTCAGACCTCGGAATGGGTCTGCAGAGCTGCCTTATCAGGGCTCGGACTAACTTATGTCTGCCAATGGTCGCGGCTTTATTTTGGTGTTCAACAATAAACAATGCTAAATCTCAGAGTGATTGAAGGGAAGACGATGATTTGAAGGGAAGCTCAACAAATATAAGGGAAAAAGGATTTAAAGGATATTTTGAAGTAAATTTGCACATGACACAAAAGTTGGCTGGCCGACAACGAAAGTGGATCTACGTTTGCTAATGGTACATCACTACATGGCAGTGCTGCAAAGGAATGTGGACAGGTTCAGTGAGCAGGCTGTCAGATGGAGTGGGGAATGTGGGGAAGCAAAAGGCTATTCACTTTGTCAAAACAGAACAGCTGAATATTCTTATAATGTTTTGAAACCTGTAAATGTTGATGTTCCCAGGTACAACAATTAATGAGGAAAGCAAATGCAGTGTTCGCCTTTATCAAAAGGGTTTGGAATATAGGAGTAAAAAGTCTCGCTGCAATTGAGGAGCTCTGGTGAGAGAGATCAATTCATCCTGAAACATGAGCTTGGTTTCTCTGTCTAAACATGTTGCTGAGTACTTCCAGCTCTTTTTGCTTTTATGATCAGAAACTGGATGAGTAATGGTGTTGGAAAGAACACTGCTGAAATGTGAAATTGGCTCAAAAAATATCAGGAAATTCGAGCAATTTGTTAGCTAATGAAGTTCTCAAACAATGAACTTTTTTTTAAAAGCTGCCCACAATCCCAAAAGTGCTCTACAAGTCTACAGACAGTTCTGTTTCTCAGTTTCGGTCCACATTATGACAGGGTGTCCAGATGTGGGATGATGACAGTGACCTGGGTCAGGCACTGACGGTCTCTCCTCCTGCTATTCTCACACCATCCACCACATTATAATAAGTCACTGTTCATTCATGGATATGGGCGTCACTGATTAGACCAATCG